AGGTTTCGGTGACTATGCCTCGCACCTGGATACCGTGGAACAAACTGCACGTGCACGACGAACACTTACGCGGCTAACAGAGGGGGGAGGTCGCATTCTTTTCAATACTGTGTGCGTGACGAAAGAGTCACACTATCAATCTTCTCATGCTTGTGTCCAACAATCCTAGCAATTCGGGTTGGTCACTAGGTCTGACTCGAACTTAGGGTGCAGCCTTATCTAGAGCACTCGTTTATCAGCATCCCTGAAGAGGTCCATCTACCTGCCAACTGGATCCAACTCAGGTCTCATTCATCAAAAAGCATTTGAACAGTAGGTTTGGTTTGAACTTTGGACGCAGCCTTATTCAGAGCTAGCAATGATGCTACCTACACATTACGCTCAAATAGAAGTATCTCTGAAGAAGTTAAGCTACTTACCAACTGCATTCAACCAGTGTCTTGTTTATCAAATCGATGCCATAGGCTGGAACGCTCGATGTTCGCGTTTATATGAAACCGACGCCAACGGTATTCCAGCAACCTGAAACCTTTGGAAAACGTTTGACAACGTATTGAACACGTAGAATTGCACTAAATTACGTTGTTTAACACAGTTTCAATCAATTCCATAGGCTGGAACGCTCGATATTCGCGTTCATAGAAAACCGACGCCAACGGTACTCCAGCCACTTGAAACCTTTGGAGAAACGTTTGATAAAGTACTGAAAAAGTAGAATTGCAAAATTAATGAAACAACAACTTTCCAAATCTAGGCTACCGAGGTACCGAACAGACCTAAACCTGGCCCATCATCGACAACGTGCTCGACCTATTAACTCGACGAAACAATTTCATTACCGCGAACAATTCATTTCCACTGTCTCTCGAAGGCAGCATCCAACGCATCGGATATCCAGGCACAATGGCGCCTGATTGTAATCCTCGAGGCCTCGACGATCGTCTTACACGGAGCAATGTAAAATGAATTATAATGCAGGCAAATGAGGAGCGTCTCCATATCGAAAGCGCGGGTCTCTGTTCCGTTCACGACGGGGGTATTTTCACTGGCCATTCTGGTCAGCTTCAATGCGAGCTTGTTAGTCATCATCGTTGCACGATGCTGTGCGGCGCGTTCCTCGTGAGTCACAGCAACGTGGCGAGCATACAGACGCATGAGAAGCGAGCCACTCGAGACTTTTCAGCGGGCGTTCGCCGTTGCTTTTCGTCAATGAACGGACGTGTTTCCCTTTCTTTCGGCGCACCGTACGCTATTTTTGCCGCGGCGGCGCCACGCTGCCCCGACACCGTTTTTCTCCTGCGAGAATCGATCCCAGGCGATGACCTAAGCGACTCGCGATCGGGATTTTTCGAAACGAGATGTTTCACATCGCAGATGATCAGACTAGACTCGGATCGTTGAGCTTTTTTCAACACTCTGTTTCCATTAATTTATAGGCCTCCAGAAATCGAACAACTTTCGTTTGAAACATGTTTCAACAGCTCATTTCCTTCTCACCTTTTACCTGTAACGAGATTCCTTTTTACGTTGTCGCATAGATCCCAGTCAGTGACAACCGAACAGGAAGGTTCCTAAAATACCGCCGTAACCTATTCTATGACCCACTTCTACAGCATTCCTTGCCAGGTCCACAGGAGGTTTCCCTGTAATATTGTCACCAAAAGACAGAAACAATAACATATACAGAGTGAGTCACCACCAAGATAAATTCAACTATCTATTACACAATATTTTATTCGCGAACTTATTTAGATTCAAGTCGCTTAACTATCTATCTAAAATACTATCTAAAATATTAAATTTCTAAATTGTAGACTCAGTACAGCTTCCTACTACACCTTCCTAATCGTGAGAGGCTCTAATCTCGAGCAGGGACACTTGAAACCTAATCCAGACTCATTTCACTGCTTAATTTCCTTAGTATTCGAACACTCGAAAACGTGGTCGAGCACTCGGTGAACACCCTGTAGAGCCGCACAGTGGACCCCGTTGACGATAAAAAGTGTAAACGTCAACGTGGCCGTTCTTCACCGCGGCGGTGAAGTTCAATGCACTTGCACGCGGTCCGATTTCCAACTTTTCCCACGACCGCGACCGAAATCCACCTAACCGGTGCTCCACGTCTTCGAATGCAAGTTTCTTCCAGAATTGGAATTTGCTCGATCGTCTAAACAAATTCCAAAGAGTCTTCCGGTAGGGAGCTAGGCTAGGCCGTCATCGGGGCCAGGAAACAATTTTTTTAACCCCCTCCAGAATTCTTTGCTCTGGATAAAAATAATAAAAACATTTAGTAAGTGCTGTGCTAAAATTTCGTCACTGAACACACTTCCTGCAATCGTATTCGCTGAAAATAGAGAGATTAACGCCCCGTGGGCGTTACAGACACGCCCCTCTGTTCAATCATTCAGGAGTCTATCCGAGTAAGAAAACAATGTTTCGAATCCTCCTTAGAATCATTTACTCTGAGTGAAAATAAGGGAATCATTTTGCTCGTCTCCAGCAGTCCTATCCGTTAGGCACGCGAAGTGAACGCCCCGTGGGCGTTACGGACACGCCCCCCTTGTTCAATCATTCAGGAGTCTATCCGAGTAAGGGAACGATGTTTCGAATCCTTTTTAGAATCATTTACTCCGGATGAAAATAATA